TCCTTAATCTATAATTAAGGACATATGTTGTAAAATTCCATAAATACTTCCCGTAAAAGTATCAAACCAAGTTAGATATACAACTAATAACAACGGTAATGAACTACTTCCTGATCAAAGTGGAAGGAGTTTGATTCTTTTTAAATAAAATTTTGAATTTAAGTTTTATAAATAAAAAAATAAATATTATAAGAATTTTTTTTTATATGAGGTTTGATATGATTCAATTCCGAATTAATTAAAATTTAATGTAATTTCTGAATATGATGGGTTAATACCAAAAAAAAAAAAAAAATTACAGCGGGTAGCTCTTTAAAGATGAATGGTACTTGGGATGGTAGAAGAAATTAATAAGGGTGGGTGGGATGGTATTAATAATGTGGATTCGGTAGGATGAGTGTACATTAAATGCTGCGTATGGTTTTTTTCTCTACATTCCAATACGCCTTTCTTGTGAAAGATTGAAAAATGCATATAAGACTAGGTTCATTGTGGTAAGAAAGTGGGTTGTTAATTTATAAATATTCCTTCTGGTTTTTCCCTGGATAGTTTGGTTATACTACCTCCATTTAATTTTGATTGTTTCGCTCTTTTTAACTTCACACACATACCTAAATAATTTAAATTTTAGTTAAAAATCTATAGTTAAATGTGTTAAAATAATACATCTATTAATAATAAAAACTTAATTTATTATGTTTATAGGTAAATTAAATAATAAGAGTAAAGTTAGAATGATTACATTCTTTTCTTAATATATTAACAAGGGTCGGATTCGAATAGTTGTTCGAAAAGAAAAATGCATTTCAACATGATTTTGTTATCATTGGGTCTGAAAGCCAAAGTGAAGAATGATTACATTTACTATCGGATATAAATAAAAAGTGAAACAATTAAATTGAAAACTCAAATTTAATAACTAAAATAACTAAATTGTAGAACAAAAGGAGTATTTTAAGAATTTTTCTAATCTATACTTATATGGCATAGGTTAAAGGTACAGTTAAAGTATTTTTTATATATTAATTAATATTGAGAAAATAAAATAAGATATTTAATTAATTAATTTTTTAATTAAAATAATTTAAATGATAGTGGTGATGAAATTAATATCAATTTTTTTTACTTTTCAATGAGTTAAAAATCCACTTAAACACAATTTTTACACATATTATTTATACAAAATCTTATCACGCATCTCTTCAAATGAAATGTTGAATTTGATTCATTTTTTATCCTTTTTTAATATGGTCTTTTTATTTAAAAAATAATAATAAATCTTAATTATTCATAATGTAAAAATAAATAATTAAAATTTTTGTATAAAAATTTAATATAAATATGTCGTAGTTTTTTTTAATATCAATTAATATAAAAAAAAATATATTATTGTACTCTGAACCGGTACCATAACTGTATACATGTATGATAGAAACCCCTTTCGAAAATTAAATTTCGCATGTATCACAAAAATGTGGTGCACAACATGTCCATGTAAACCAAAGGGACGAAACACGAAAGCAAACTTTACCCACCTGATGCAAGGACAAGTGTTTTGCATTTACTGACTCCTCCCTCTCGTGGGTTTACGCCATGTGTCCTCGATTTTGAGTTTGGCCTTTTTCTCATGTCTCTCTGCAGTGATACGGGTACTGTTTAGATTTTAAAGCTTTGGATTGAAATTTTTTTTTTTGAACAGATTTTAAAAGGGTTGGGTTCGAACCCAACCGCCTGGGAAGAGGGGGATGCACCGTGGGTAGCTTTTACCACTTGGTCCGAAGGGTTTGGTGTGCTTTGTATTTAAATTTAATTAAAGAATCAAAAATAATTTTGATGGCTGAAGATACTCACTGTTGTTTTGGGGGACGGAAATTTGGACCACCATCAGGTTTGTTTGGTTAGTAAGAAAATTAATAGTTGTTTGGGAAATACGAAAAGAAAATCTCTGGCGGGAAAAGGGTTGAAGAGGGCCGCCGATTTTTCTTTTCTTTCACACGACCTCAAGATTGGTCTGGACCAAGTTGAAGCCGGATAGATTTGTCCGTATAAAGGCCTAATCTCGAAAGCCCATTTTCTTTTATTTAAAATTTTTTTTAAACAGGATAATTTTTTGATAATAACCTCCAAATAATTACATTGAATTTGATTAATTTAAAATCGAGTCGCGTTGAATTTTATTTAAAAAAACTTTTATACTACTTATTTTTTCATTAATAAAATTTAAATTTAAAATTTTATTTGAAATCTTTCTGCTTGAATTAACAAGCCCGTTCATTAAAACAAGACAATTGAAAAGCATAGAAAATGAGATTTGTGGGGTTTGAAAATTAAACCGTCAAAAAATTGATCCCTACCAAATCAAAGGACTTAGCGACTACGCCAACGCGTGGGATCCATTTACCTGATCCTGCAATAGTTAGTTGGAATTACAAGCCTGTCTAGGAAGCGTAGCCGCTGGATCGATGGGCTCTTCCGGTCACCACCATACACGTGGGACTCTGACTATTCTTCTGCTTCTCTTTATTCCATCTCCATCTTCTGCTAGGGGAGAACGCCAAAATGAGGAATTCTCTGTTCACTCACAATCATGAATAATAATTTCTAATTTAATAGTAGGGTTATACGTATTTTTAATTTCAAGCTTAATTTTCATTTCTTAGTTATATATATATATAAATCATGAATAAATTTTTTGTTGAGTATGTGAGGGGTGGAGTAAGTACAAGCTTTATTCTATCTTAGAATCAAGGATAGCAACTTTGATTGATCTCAAATTAGTATTAAATTCTGTTTGTTGTTTTCAATTAAGGCGAATTTGGACGGAAGCTTGTTAGTTCCGTTACCTTTGAGATTTCTGCTAACATGGGGAAAGAAAGGTTGACGTGGCAAGAAAGAGCAAAGGAAAGTGGATTCTCAAGGAAGCACCCCCGAAGATATATGGCGAACAACCAAATCATGCATTGCTGTCTCAAAAGTGGTGAATAAAAAATCAATGACAATACCTTTCTATCATTGCTATGAAAGTCAAGTTGGATGTGGTTTTGCAAACTTAAAATGAAAATAAGATTTTCATCTTTTTGATAAAAAAATAATATTTTCATTAGTAGAGAGATTACATAATTGATCAGGGAAGGGAAAAAGAGGAGGGCATCAAAATCATCAAGGACAATGTGATTAAAGGAGAAAAAGCAATAAAATTTTGGTCTCTCGATTTTAGGGTTTTATATATTTTTCATTTCTTAACTTTTTTATACACTTTTTTAGTTGTTAAATTATGAAAAATGTACTATTTTAATCATTCTATCAATTAATTTATTAAGTTTGTCTATATATACATATTTTTAGTTTCTAAATTTTTAAGTTGAAAAATAAAAATGTGCAAAACCCTACATTTGAGGAATTAAAAATTGTATATATGGGTAAACTTAATAAACTAATTAACGAAATAATTAAAAATGTGTATTTTTCATAATTAAGAAATTAAAAAAGTGTATAAAAAAGTTGAGGTACTAAAAATTGTGCAAATCCAAAAAATTGAAGACCAAATTAGTATTTAACCATAAGTTAAAGACTGCCATTTTTTAAGTCAATAAAATATTATAGTTGCAAAATCATCATTTTATTTGTAAAACAGAACTTGAAATTTAGAGGCAAATGATCTTCAGTTCAAAGACTCAACTTCTTTCACCCATTTATCGACATTCCATGCATCCCAAAAATCATCACCATAATATAATGAAATTTTCTTCATAAAGAAAAACATTTGTTCTCTCCAAATTTCCGAAGGGGGTTAACTCCAACTGAGCAACCAG